GCCCCTTGCTGAGAAGCAGGTGGTGGTGGTGGGGTCTGCCAGTGTCCCTCTTTGGGGAGGGATGAGGAGGACAGCCCTGGGCCACAGGCGGATGGGCAGGGACTTAACCTCCTATCCTTTGCAAAACACACACGTCCCGTGACCCGGTGGGAAATGCTGTCAGAAACAACCGAAATGAGAGCTTTGCACCCCAGGGTTCTGGCTCGAGCATCCCTTCGGGTGCCACAGGCTGTGGGACAGTGTGGTGTCCAGCAACACGGATGGTGTGTGACTCGGGTGACGTGCTGTGAACTGCAAGGGCAGGAAGAGGGGATGGGGTCCCGAGTGAGGAATGTGGTATGTGGGGTAGATGGTCTCTTGTTCCTCCTGCTAGCGATTCCCTCCCAGGTGAGGGAATTGGCCATGGTCCTGTGGGATGGGGACAGGGTTTCTTGCTCCCAGACCTGGCCCTTCTCTGTAAATCCCATCTCACTTTGGGAACATTCCTGACCAGCCTCTCCCCAGGCGAGGTGAGGGTCCCAGGTGAGCCCCTGGGAATGGTGAGGCACTTGTCTTTCCATGGGCAAGCATTGTGTTGGTCCTGCAGTGATGTCCCAGCCATGTGACAGAGGGAGACGGCTGGGAGACGGCTGGCCCTGGGTCCTGCTCAAACCGATCTGAGATTTGGCTGGTGGAGCCAGCTGCCTCACTGACCTCACGCTTTCTGCTCTGTCAGTTTCACGTCTTGCCTCAGGCTCCATAGTTGTAGCATACTGGCAGCAGAGTGGCTAGTTGTGGTCAGTCGGGCAGACATCTCACAGGGGCCACCTGGTGGACCTAGGCTGACTTCAATCAAGATTTGCTTCTCTTTCCAGATGTGATTCGTAACTTATCCACTCCTTCCTTATCCCCGGGCAGCCTTCCTGGGTGATGATGACACCTGGCTTCCCTGGACAAGCTGGCTCAGTGGACAGGGCGTGGAGGACTGGGCCAGAGCTCTGGGGGACAGCCCCTGCCCAGCAGCCGGCCGAGCCTGGGCCTCCCCGCAGGAGCAGGGGCCTCATCTCCTGCAGCCAGCCAGAGCCATTCCCTCCCAAGGCCTGCTGGCTCCTTGGTCCCAGTGTTTGAGTTTCCTGGGAGGTTCCACCCCAAACACCTGCCTATCCCATAGACAACAAAGATTGAGGTCCAGAGCAGCCCTGGTGTCCTTGTACCACCACTGGGTGAGAGCTGTGGGGGCTGGAGCAGAAAAGGAAGCCCAGGGACTTCTCACCAATGGGCCCCGGTCTCTTCTAGGGCAATAATTTCTCTTTTGTTTTGTCCATTCTGGGTGGGGTTTGTTCCACCATTCTAGAAATGCTCCCAGTGTAGGGTGCCAGAGTCAACAAGATAAAAACGGAGGCCTCTGTTAGATTAGAGGTGCAGCTAAAACAACAAGCACTTTAAATTATGTCTCATGCAAGTTAAACTTGAATTTCAGATGGATTCTAACTTAACTGGGTGTCCTGTGTCCTATCTGCTCCGCAGCAGAGTTAGGTTCTGAGGAAGAGGAGCAGGCACCTTGCTGTGGTAGTGCCTGCACCACACCAGTCTTCTTCTCAAGTGTGGCTTTGCGGTGTCAGTGTCGTCTCCCAGGCCTGAGCAGACTGAGTCAGACCACACTGCCCTGGAGAGCAAGGCCCAGGGCCTCACAGGCATTGGTGGCTGGTGTGGACCTTAGCCAACTCTTCTCAGGGGTCCAGCTGGGTCTGCTTTCTTGTCCATCCCCATTGTGGTTGCTTTTGGATCCCAGAGGCCCCTAAAAGGCTGTGCCTGGAGGGGCCTGGACAGCAGCTGGCTTGGGACATAGTGTCTGGGCGAGGTCCAGGCATCTTTCTAGTACTGAGGACCTGTGTTGAGCCCCTTACAAGCCACATAGAAGAGCATGTAGCCTTCTATGCCTAAAATGGTAAGGGATTGAGTTGAGATTGAATTGAGGATTGTGAGGCCAGGAGATTATCCGGATTGTCTGGGTGGCCCTAAACACTGTCCTGAGTGTCCCTGTAAGAGATGGAGAGGAGATGTTAGGGGTACATGTGGGAGAGGCCATGCCAGACAGAAGCAGAGACGGAGTCAAGTGGCCTGGGGTGCCACAGCCACGGGGGCTGGAACAGGCAGGAGAGAGGCTTTGCTGGAGGGAGCTCAGCCATATGACACCCTGAGCTTGGGCTTCTGGCCTCTGGATCAGCAAGAAAATAGTTCTGTCACTTAGTGCTGCCCATTCTATGGTGGCCACTTATAGCAGCCCCAGGAAACACCCAGGACAGCTGCCAGGTTTGGTCTCCAGCAGACAATGCATGTGACCTCCCAGATGGTGTGAGCTTGTGGTTCCCCGAGACTCATTTCATGGACTCTGCTTAGGCCGAATGTCCTCTCCCTGCCTCGACTTTCCCAGCACATGGGGGAATTCCAGAAATACAGGATCCAGGGCAGGGCCCTCATGTACACTGAGAGATGGAATCCATACTGACACAGGCATTGTGGTTGGCAAGGATGCCAAAAAACCCCTCTCATGTCCCCAAGGCCCTGATGAGACGTCTATTCTCCCCATTCCTGCCGCTCTTGGGGTCCTGAGAGCACTATGGCCAGGGGCTGCCTGCAGGCCTTCTAGAGGATACGGCTCCTTCCTGGTCAAGCACCACCTTGCCCTCTAGGGCTGTGCCTGTGTCCCCTGGGCCAACACCCCATCTTCCTGGGTCTACCTGCTCTGTCTTTGAGGGTCCTGGTGGAGCACAGGTCCACCTTCCCACGGCCTTCCTTAGTCCACGATTCCCCGGTGTGATCCCCTTGCCTTCTGTGTGCTTGGCTAGTTTTGTGCCCGGCTCCAGGATATGCCAAGGAGTCTGACACTGTCCCAGGTGAGGTTGCTCACCACAGCATTTGACACACTGGTCAGAGGGGCCAAGGAGAAGGACATGGCCGGGCCACCAGAGGGTCTTCCGTAATCTGGTTACAGGTTGGGAGACCCTAAGGGCAATCAGCTCGGTCCAGCTCAGGAGCTGGCAGGAGCCCAGGGAGAGAGCCCAAAACGTGTCTAAGCTGAGGCCACAGAAAAGGGTCAGTGGTCATCCAAGCTGGGCCTACTGCGAGGGCAGAAGAGGAGTCTCATCCCAAGATGGAAGTTGTGAGAGGGTGAAGCTGAGGCGTGGTGTGGCCTCCAGCCCCATGGAGACCATGTGGAGTCCAAGTCAGGCAGGAAGTGGGGGTCCCTCAGGCCAGAAAGGTGGCACCTGTGCTGGAAGTAGGGGGGAGAGTGGCACGGCCATGGGGGGTTTTTAGGGAGGGGCAGATGGGTCTAAATGGGCATAGGCAGCCAGGTGGGAGCTCTGCTTGGGGTGGGAGGTTAAAGATGTCTGTGGAATTTGGTGAGTCTGACGTGCTGGAGAGACGCTGAAGGGGGCCTGGGCCAGACACAGGGGTTGGGAGGGGGTGCAGCAGGGAGCTCATGGCAGCAACACCAGTGAGGGAGGGGATCAGGACTGGGGATGAGCACTCCCAGGTGGCAAGAGGGTGGGGTGCTTGACATGGGGCTGCTCCCAGCCCCATGGCGCTGGGGGGCGGCTTGCCTGTGCCTTCCTCGTGGTTCACAGCCCCTGTCCTGGGTGAATTTGGGAGAACACTGTGAGGTTCCTGGGAGACACAGCTGGAGGAACTTGGGATGTGAGCTGCCAAGGTCCTTGGACCTGAAAAGCTGCCTTGGGAGAGGGGAAACCCCGAAGACAGGACTGCAGGACTCCAGGTTGCAGGAGAGAAATCTCTCTTGTGCTGCCCTATGAGGTGGTAAGCTTCTGGTCTTGGGAAGCATGGGAGCGGACACCTTTTCACTGGCCCACAGAAGGGTTTCCCAACACTGGGCAGTGAGTGGCTGCTACTCCCACCCAGCCCTCCTAGGGTGCTGGTTCTGCCTGCAGCGCCCAGGGTCGGCGGCCATGGCCACATAGGGACTGCAGGGGCTGTGTCTCCGGGATGCAGGTGTGGGACTGTCTCCAGGTTCACTGTTTGTAGACACTGCCATGGGAGGCAGAGGCAGGGCTAAGGGTTGGTGGGGCAGTTCCCTGACTGCTGGTTGGGACTTGTACTGCCCTGAGCAGGGGGTGGGTAGAGTGGGTGGAGCAGGCGGGAGCCCAGGAGCCTGGCAGGTGCTGAAGGGGCTGGCAGGGTGGGGCTTTCCAGAAGGCCAGGTGAAGCCACAGAGACTACTTCTTGAGAACCAGGGGAGTTCCAGCTGCCAGCCAGGTGGGTGCTGGCTCCCCAAATGCTGCAGAATGAGTGGGGAGGAGTGGGCAGACAGGGGTCCCAGGCCCTGTGGGCACACAGCCAGGACAGAGTCAGGTTTAAGGGCAGGTGCCTCAAACCTGGGCTGCGGCCTGTACCAGGTTTGAGGCACCTGCCCTTAAGTCCAGCACAGGTGTCTGAGGGGAATGTTGGGGAGATGTAGCCCCAGTTGTGGGCTGGCCTGCCTTGGAGAAGCTGCGGAGCTGGGCTTGTCACCACCTGCCTTGCCTTCCTTACCTGAAGCATGGGGTGCCTCATGTCCCTTGCAACCTGGTGGGGAGGCTGGGCAGGGAAGGCCAATTTGGCACCCTGCACCCAGGCTATGGGGGCAAGAGAAGGAGGAGGAACAGGGACTAGGTCCTGAGGGACGCTTCTTCAGGGACACCTGAGTCTGACTGTGAGGGGCTGTGTCTTGGGCCAGAGATGAGGGAGGTGTTCTGATGGGAGGACAAGGGGTGGGAACTGGGCTGCCTGCCCTGGGACATTCCTGATTGCCCGTGACTGACTCACACCCACTTCAAAGGCTTTGGCCCCGCTCAGCTATTTAACCTGCTGGCTGTGTCCGTGCTCTGGAATTCTGCTCTTGGGGGAGCTGAAGCCCCACCCTAGACCTGGTCCTCACCTGGGCAGGTACCTCCTCCTCGTGCCTGTCCATTCAGTCGGCCTGCAGAGTGATCGCAGGGCCTTGGCCTGTGCCTGCCGCCACCATGCCTGCCCCCTCTGCCCCTGCGCCAGCCCCAGCTGCACAGGTGTCCCAGTGGCACCACTACCTGCAGGCCATCCGGTCACGAGAGGCGCCCCGAGCCCAGGACTACCAGCGCGCAGAGAATGTGCTGCTCACGGTGCTGGAGCGCGTGCACGCCCTGGACCCCCGCTTCGTAGTGGACTACTCCCATGACCTGGAGGCCTTCCAGTTTGCTCTGCGCTCCTCGGAGGACCCGCTGGACATAGAAGTGCCCCTGGGGGTGGATGCCGAAGCTCTCCTGCTTGAGGAGCCAGGGCCCACCGAGCCAGGGGACGGCCCTGCGTCCTGCCGCCTGGGCATCCTCAGGGAAGGGGCTGGCCTAGAGCGCTGGACCACTGATGATGTCTTCAGCGCCTCCTCAGAAGGCAGCACCCAGTGCTGTGGTCACATAGAGCCCAGCAAGGTCTTGCATGTCCTCAAGGACTTACTGGTGGCGGCCATCGTGCACTGCAAGCACCACAGCCTCATCACACCAGGTAGTGGGCACAGGCCCCACATGCGTCTGCGTGAAGGGAGTGATCACTGCGCATGTGCGCTGCGGAGTGATCGCGTGCTAGCAGAGGTGACTTACCCATTGCATAGGCATGCGTGTGTGAGAGTCACAGCTGTGATCACTGTGTGTGTGTGTGTGTGTGTGTGTG